AGCGGAAAAACTGAAGTTCCTCTTCACAGATAGAAATTAGAGGCTTTCTTCTGTCTCCATGGATACGAAATGCAAATGAGAGAAGTCAGATATAAACTGATTTTAATATTTAACCGGCTGCAGCTTTTCCCTCTGAATGCTTTAATAACCCCACATTCATGTGTTCATATTATGATGAACGGGTGATACCAGTGGCACCCGGATTATTATCAGGAACCTGATCGGGTTTATCGGGAACCTGAGGCGCTGAGCTGGCTGAGAAAAGCCCGCCTCACATGGTTGGAGTCCCGGCCTGGTGACCTTTGCCTCCTCTCTCATTTCTACCTTTCCTGATAATTCACTACCAAATAAATAAAACTTAACAAAAAACCTGATCAGTGTTCATTTAAGGCCCGATCGGGTGTATTGGACCCGATCAATCGGTGTGAATCATGTTCTCTTCCTGGGATGAGACAGAAGTTTCTGCTGGAACCGACCCGGGTCAGAGCCGCCTGCAGAGTGTAATTACGATCAGTCCAGGTTAATATTCAACCCCTCCTTAAAGGGACAGTCCCTCTAATTCATTTCCTCTTTCTGAGGTGGCGGCAGCACGCCACCAGAACTCCGACCCGTCCAGAACCACAGTACAGCTCTGGATCAGAACCATCTCCACTGCTACCAGAAATCATTCACACCCCTGGTATGAGTACTTTCATACCAAGGACGCTCTCTCTCTCTCTCTCTTTCCCCCTCTCTCTCTTTCCCCCTCTCTCTCTTTCCCTCTCTCTCTCTTTCCCTCTCTCTCTCTTCCTCTCTCTCTTTCCCCCTCTCTCTCCCCCCCTCTCTCTCCCTCTCTCTCTCTCTCTTTCCCCCTCTCTCTTTCCCTCTCTCTCTCTTCCTCTCTCTCTTTCCCCCTTTCTCTCCCTCTCTCTCTCTCTCTCTCTCTCCCTCTCTCTCTCTCTCTCTTTCTAGACTCTCTAACCCTTGACTAGACTAACAGTTGCTGCCACCAAAACACCCCCACAGCATGATGCTGCCACTACCATGCCTCATAGAAGGGCTAGCGGGGCCAGAGCTCGCTTAAGGTCCGATCTGCAGAACATTCTGGGTGAAGCCGATGGAGGCAGCGCATCGACCCGAAGGTCCAAATCTACTCAGAAAAACTCAAACACTTCAGATTGAAGATCAAAACAATTTCATGTCCAATAATCGTTTATAAGAGTTTAAATATTTTATCTATATTCAGGTTTTAGGCGTTTAGTGAGAAAAAATATTAAATCAGTGAGTGAGGATCAGAACCAGAGCCGGCCCAGCTCAGTCTTTTTGGGTCTGAGCAAGTTCTGGTTTATCATCAGAACCGGGTCGCCTTGTTTTGGTTCTGTTTTGTTATCAGAACAGCCCAACTTGTCCAAGCAGAACCTGATGGAACCGGTCAGCTGACCCAGTTCGGTTCTGGACGGGAAGCTGCTGCATTTCTCAGAGTTTTATTGATCATCATCTGATACAATAATAATTTGATCAGAACCGGGTCGGGCTCCCTGCAGGTTCTGGGCTCCAACCGGACCCGACCAGAGCAGCTCCACCAGTAACCCACCAGCAGCTTCACTGAACAGGTGAGGAAGAGCTGCAGGTACAGGCAGAGCGTTGCCTAGCAACCAGGCTGCTCTCTGGTTCAGGCTCTCTGTGGTTCCTGAGCGGTTCTGATCCGTTCAGAATCTGATCAGCTGAAGAATCGATCAGCCGATCAATAACTGAGTCTGTTTAGCCTGATGAGTCGAGCTCAGATCTGATCTTCATCATGATCCCAGTTCTGTTGGCTGGAACCGACCGGACCCAAACAGAACTCCCTGACAGTCAGAACCGCCACTGACCTCTGACCCCAGATTGGAAAACATTTGAACTCGAAGACGACGGCTGCAGCCTCGGCCGCCACAATAACCAATAAATCAATAAGTGATGAATTTAAAACGAGGTCGATCATTTCTGTTTGAACCACCAAGTCCTGGACCGGTTCGGTCCAAACGTCCAACCCAAACGTTCGGTCACCTTCAAGGGAACAAACCATCAGAACCGGCCCGGCAGCATGAAGCAGGCCAAACTTCTAAACAACATCAAAGGTTTTAGAGTGGCCTAGTCAAAGTCAGGATGTTACTCTGATTGACACGCTGTCCAGACCTGCCACTGGCCGTTGCTGCTCTAAAACCCTCCAAAGTGTATGAATAAAATCAGCAGGGGGTCAAAGTTCACCAAAGGCTGAATACTTTTCACAGCCAGGTCGGTTTGGAGGTTTTTGTCTTAATAAATGAAAGTTGTTGAGTTGAATCTGATAAATTGATATTTGTCAGAACATATCAGCTCTTCTGGATGTTTTCTCTGAAGAAATAAACTCCTGATTATTTAGGGATCCAAACAACAAAACTGGATAGAAAACCCTGAGAAACTTTTCCAGTTTTCCGTTCTTCTCTTCAGCAGAGATGGGCCCCGGGGCCCCTCACCTCCTGCCGTGGTCTCCAAAGATGGACCGATAGTTCTCACCGCTAGAAGAAGGAGAAAGCTCAGCTGGGCTGACATGAGCCCGCTTTCTTCCTGGTTCTGGGTGAGACCGTGAACGCACCAGAGCAGCGGCGGGTGAAGCTGCGTCCGCCGCTGCACCTGCAGCCAGAAGCTGCCGGGCGGTCCTACCTTGCTCCGGTCGGTGTCGGGTCAGTCCGCCGCTCCGCTACCGGGTCATGGTTCCGACGTTGCGAAACGAAGCGGGAGGATGAGCAGGCTGAGCGGGCCGCCGCAGGGCGGTCAGTTCCTCTATCCGCGGCGCGACGAGGAAGTAAAAGTTGACTGGATCGTCGGCATGAAGGCAGTCACTCCGGAAGAGAGGACGCTATCTATGCAAAGTAGAGGCGCACAGCCGCGGCTGACCCGCAGCTTTCAAAATAAATGTTGCGATGGTTCTACTGGGCTCTACTGGTTCTGGTTTGAAAGTCTCTTATTGGCCGAGACCTGATAAATTCATCTGTAAAACCGGAATCGGAATGGACCTGCAGCCCACAGCATGATGGTGCCTCCACCTCCATGTTCAGTCTGAACGTCCTTCCAGTCCAATCAATACTTTTCAGAGATATTGATCATTGATGACGAATTCAGTTAAACCCTCTGATGCTTTTTCATTCAGATTCTTTGTGGTGGGAAAACTTTCCGTCTGCTGTTCCTGCAGCAGCAACAGGAAACGTTTCCTCTACAATAACAGAATTTCTGGTAACACATAAAACTGACGTGCTTCTGTCACCAGCATGAAGGAGTTTTTATGAATGTGGTCATGAAGCGTCATTTGGTAGAATATGACACTTTTAATGGATTTTTAAAGCAACTTTACATTGAAAGTGTCATAATTTACCGAATGACGCTTCATGACAACATTCATAAAAACTCCATGTTGGTGACAGAGTCACGTCAGTTTTATGCTCAAAGTGTTACTGAATTTATCTCAAAGGATTTTTAATTTGGTTCTTTTGGATTAATGGCTGAACCAGACCAGAACTTTAAACCTAAAATAAGATTTCAAACATTTCTGACCCGTTTAAACTCAAAGTCCATGAATGTAAATGGAGCTGATGACGGAGTTGTTCTCCTGACCTCTGACCTCTGAAGTAAAGCTTCAGTTTCTGAACCAAGCTTGTCGATGATCTCCATGAAACAGATCCAGAAGGTGACAATCAACAGACATTTGCATGAATAATTCAGATATTTGCATGAGAGGAAGAGGAAGAGGAGGAAGACAAGGCAGCCTTTCAGCTGCTGGCTGCCTGCAGCAGCACCAGTAGCAGTCTGTGACGCTGGGCTGCAGGAAGGACCCCTGACAAAGCGTCATTCATCACAATCAGCTGTAGCAAAAGTATTCACTCCCTTCTGACCCAGTTCTTGTTTATGTGACAAGAATCAGAAGAAAATGGATAAAAATCTGAAAGGTGTGGCATTCACCGCTCCTTTACTCCGACACCCTGAAATCAACAAGAAGAGCCAAAAAATCTGAAAAACAAACAGAATTTACCACAAACCAGATCATAACTGGGGAAAGATTCATATCACAAATAAAAATCTGAAAAGTGTGTTGTGCATTTTATTCTGCCACCGTTCCTCTGATGCCCCTTAATAAAAACTCCTTCAGTCACCTGACGCGTCCAGCTCAGAAACGAGAAGAGAGACAGAAAGTCACATTGATCGGGAACTTTACTACATCGATACAGCACTGCAATAATCACTACACACACACACACACACACACACACACACACACACACACACACACACACACACACAGAGGATAAGACATTAACCACATGCAATGAAAAACCAAAAAGTTTCAGACTGAAACAGATTTGAGGTAGAAATCCATCAGATAGATCAGCTGAAGCTCATTCAGCAGAAAACCCAAAACTTTCTTCATTTAAACTGTAACAACCCATCAGCAGTCAGGGAGCCGGGTCCAGGCAGGTTCTGAACCGGATCGGGTCTGGACCGGGCCAGCAGCAGCTGCAGCTCTTTCTGCTCCAACTCATCAACCATTAAATCAGGGGCCCAAACTTTTTGCCCTGGGGGCCAAACCTGACTAATTTAAAGCAGCCAAATGTCATTGAATTAAAAATGCAAAAATTTGTGATTATTTTATTGTTTAAAATATATTTTAGTTTTACTTGCTCAACAAATGTTTCTTTTTAATTAAATCTGTTGAAACTGCAAAAACACAAAATCTGACCAAGTATTTAAGGTTTCTAGAGCAAAACTAAAACTAACTTACATTAAAAATGTTTCTTTTAACTTTGATGAAAAAGTTATAGTTGCATTAGCTGATTATTTCATTGTAATAGGACAAGCCTCTCGTTATAAGTGAAATTATCTGCCTTATTTGGTACAGTAAGACTTTGTGCTACAAACTGTAAATACTTGGTCAGGTTTTGTGTTTTACATAAAAAGACCTTTGGACTGTTGGCTTATTAAAAGAAAAACAGACATTTTCCAAATTGTCAGCTTGGAAAACCAAATTTTTTTTACATTTTTTGACTTGTGATCAGGGGCCACACAAAATAATTTCAAGGGCCACAAAGGCCCCCGGGGCACCCTTTGGGCACCAAAACTAAGACTCTGATTCTCACAAACTAACCATTAACTATTCAACATCCAGAAACTCTTCTACAGTCAGGGCTGTTGCATGCAAACAGGGCTGCTGCCAGTAACGGGTGGGGAAGGGGCTGAGCTGCAGTTCAACCTGGAGGCCTGCAGGGGGCTGAAGCTCCAACTGGAACAACAATCTTGGGATGAGGAAGCAGAACGCAGCATCTCCTGTCCATGCAGTGGCGCATGGTCTAGTCAAAGTCTTCCTGCAGCTCACTGAAGCCCTCGCTGTGCAGAGTCTTCCCCGTCAGCTCCATCATGGCCTGGACCTCCGGATTCACCGTCAGGATACTCTTCTTCCCCTCCTCCTCTTCCTCATCCTGAAACACCAAGAGCGGCTCAACATGGCATCACCACCACAAACCTGCTCAGACCAGTTTAAACCGGTTTAAACCAGTTCAGACCAGTTCTAACTGGTGCAGCAACCTCGGTCCTGTGGTCCCGCTCCGTACCTCAGCCGGTGCTGGCGGTTTCCCCACGGCCCAGACCTCCACAGCGTCCAGGACGAAGTCCTCGTCGGCTGACAGTTGCGGGTTTCCGTATGTCGTGCATTTGGGGCGCGCGCGGCTGTGACCGCGGCCGAAGTCGCTGTCCAGCCACAGGCCGAAGTAGTCGTGTTGACCTCCCATGCCCTGAGGGGAGGAGGAGACGTTACCATGGCGACCAGCAGTCTGACCTCCCCATACCCTGAAGGGTCACCTGACAGAAGTAGACTGGGACTTTAACAAGTTAGTTGATATTAATTCATCACATCGGTTTTAACTCGTTCAAAATTTTAGTGCATTTTTGTTGTTGTCTTTTTTACATCCAAAGTTCTGAGCAGGAACCTTTGTGTTCCTGTGTTTCTGGTACACCCGTACATCTGACACACCTCAGTGCTAAACATGTTGCAGCAGCACAGACGCTGCTTATTTAGCTGATTTATAGATTAAACATCTGAGTTCAGCTCCTCCAGTAGCTTCAGGTGCTCATGAAGCCCTGTTGTTTTCAGCTGCTGCTGTGACTTCCTGTCTGTGAGGTCACAGCGGTGCTGGAGCGTGAAGCGGCTCCGCTCCACTGGGCCCAGTCTCACCAGTCCATTTGGCATCGTCTGCTGGTGCTGGTTCAGGTACATGAAGTGTTCGTTGTATCCTGTCGCTGTGTAAACCCTCAGCGTGGGGAAGACCGAGAACAGGAAGCATCTGGAGTCACCTGCACACACACACACACACACACACACACACACACACACACACACACACACACCATCATGCTCCTGTCCACCATATTCAAAAGAGCAGAGCCACTTCCTGGCTGTGTGGCTTTCTGCCTCCAGCTGAGCAGAGCCAAAATGGCCGCCACAAGTCTGCCTTCATCAACCAATCTGGTCCAGGAAGTGCAGCTGGTTACTTCCTGTCTCTGCTCAGCCTCCTCATGTTTCACCATGAAGATATTTAACAGGCACGTGCAGAGGGGGGAGCTGGGGGAGCTTGAGCACCTGCCCTTTTTGCTCCTTGCCCCAAAGTGCCCTTTTGGTCAATTTTTTTTTTTTTTTTTGCATTATTATTTTCAAAGCCCTCTTCTGACACATAATAACATGTACTACAATTATTATTTATTTATTTTTTTTTGTACAACATAATAAGCCTTCCGGTCACCT